TATCTTTCGAAATTTTCTTCTGAAACCCGTTGGAGCATTTTTTTTTCGAATTCACAGTCTTTTTTTTGGAATCAATTCTATTGGAGTTCTCTTAGGGGACATCCGCAAATAGCGTAGCATTTGAGGGGGGAGGGTTTCAGAAGTGTGATCGGCCATGTCACGAGGGGGAGGGGGTTTCGAATTGGTCAAAAATATGCTACGTCATTTATGGATGGTTCCTTATTAATCTTCTCTACTATTCCTTTGAATTTATCTCCAGAACACTCTTAAATTATGTTTCTTGTTGAATTCTCATCATAATTCATCTTCTTTTCACGATCTCAATACAATTCTCCCCAAAATGACGTAGGAATTTCGCTTGAATTTAATTTAAAACTTTCTTTCTTCTCCACAGAAATCCCTCCAAATTGATCCAACAACTTCTTAGGACTACATCACAGATTTTTTTTGGAATTCTACTCAGAAATTCTCCTTCCAAAATAATGCAGGAATCCTTCTCAATATTTGTTTGAAATCAATTTCTATTAAAATTTTACTTAAAATTCCAGGGTTTTCTTCAGGATTCTATGGGATGTTCTGTAATTTTTTTTATAACCCTTAATTATCTTCCAAGTGAATGTCTAAGTGCCTTGACAATGTTGACTTCAGGGTTGCTAATCATGATTTTTTTTTCAAATCTTTTATCTGTTAGAAGTTTTTCAAAGTCTCTCGATTTATTTTTTATTTTTTTTTCCCTAAATTTAGCATCACGAATATTGTTATAAGTACAGGCAACGGAGTAAAGGTATCATCAATTTTTATTCAGTTTATTTTGTATCAAGTTACTTTTTTCTAAAACAATGTTTTAATTCAATCTCACTCTTTACAATTGAGCAATTCCCTACGAATTCGTAAATCGGGCTATTTTTGTATTTTTGATTTGGTTGAAAATTTGCAGAAATATTCCTTATGACTGACAATGCATTTTGCCAAATAAAAAAAAATACAAAAAATGATTTTTTGGGAAAAATTGTTTTTAAGATTTTATTTGAAATTAAAAAAATAGTTAGGTATTTTTTGAGAGTGCATATTTTTTTTAAATGGTCTCATCCATTATTTGCAATATTGCCCAAGACACCAAAACGTTCGGGCAAACAGTTTTCGAGTAAACATTTTCTGAAGATAAGCTTGATATTTTTCTATATCCAGAACAACATGTGAAAAGGGCATACAAGCTTTTTGTAAACAAACCTTTGTAGGCCCTTTTCTTGCCAACAGAGGGTCGCCCACGCAAACCAGCAATATCATCGGGAAGGGGAAAGTGTCCCCTACTCGGTGATGTTAAAGGTTTGCGTTGGTGTCATATGGGTGGCGATAAAAGGGCATAAGAAGGTTTGTTTACAAAAAGCTTGTATGCCCTTTTCACATGTTGTTCTGGATATGCTCTTTTCAAAAATAAGGCTGGATTCAAAATGGCGATATGAAGATGCAAAATGGCCTTGTCGGTCATAAGGAACGTTTCTGCAAATTTTCAACCAAATCAATTTTGTCTTATGACCCATTATACCAGATAGCATTTAACCTTGTGACCTTAATCCATAACTCTGCTAGTCAGGAAATTCTGGGATTCTCAAAACATTTTGAATAAATTGATTGACTTATTGAGTTGAATACTACATTCAGTAGTAAAAATTCTTCCAGTAGCTTTGCTTATGTGTGTTCATTTGCGTTTTTTGTTGACTATTAACAACCGCGATATTTTTAAGATTTGCACAGCCATTTTTTTGGCTATTGTTCCTGTCTACTCAGCGAATTTCCTACTATTTCCTTCATTTTAATCGATTTTTCTCAGGCCCTTTTAATTTATTCATTTTTGAAAAAAAAAATAAACGAAAAAGTTGTCCTCACTCCTTTTTCATAAATTTGTCGTGATTATTTTTCTTAACCATAGGTTTTTCAAAATGTACACACAATTCCTTTCAACTTACCTGTTGACACCAAGAACAGATTTTTTTATTTTGTATTTGTTTTAGAGGACAATGAAACCACCAACAAAATTTTTATTGTACATTTTCTTATCTTTCGGGAAACATATTGTCGGAACTGGAGAACCGTGAAATACATTCGAAAATGGCCAAAATCTTACTTACTTACTTATCCTGGTCCGACATCCACCTGCATCACAATCACTACGCCAATTAACTCGGTCCGCAGCTGCTTGTCTCCAATTTCTTGACCGTCCCACACTTCCAAGATCCTGCTCCACTTGGTCTAGCCACCTTGCTCGCTGTGCTCCTCTTCGTCTTATACCGGCCGGATTCGAGGCAAATACCATATTTGCGGGTTTGTTGTCCAAATACGTGTCCCGCCCATCGTATCCGTCCAGCTTTCGCAACTTTCTGGATACAGGGTTCGCCATAGAGTTGCGCTAGCTCGTGGTTCATCCTTCGCCTCCATACACCGTTCTCACATACCCCGCCAAAGATGGTCCTAAGCACTCGTCGTTCGAAAACACCTAGTGCTTGCAGGTCCTCCTCGAGCATCGTCCCCGTCTCGTGCCCGTAGAGAACTACCGGTCTTATCAGCGTCTTGTACATGGTACATTTAGTACGGGTCTTGTGGAGTCCGTAGTGAGCACGACTTCCGGCAATAATACGCCGACGAATTTCTCTGCTGCAGTTGTTATCCGACGTCACCAATGATCCGAGGTACACAAAGTCATCCACCACCTCGAACTGCCTATGCGAGCCCTATCCCGTCGGGTTCCTCCAGCTAACAGATACTTTGTCTTCGACGTATTCACCTTTAATCCAACCTGCTCTGCTTCACATTTCAGCCTGGCTCTACTGCCTGAAACGTTCTTCCGACAATGTCCACGTCGTCAGCGAAGCATATGAACTGGCTGGATTTATTGAAAGCCCGCACGTTTCATAACACCTTCTAGCGCAATGTTGAACAGGAGGCAGGAAAGACCATCGCTTTGTCGAAGTCTTTTGCGAGTTTCAAACGAGTCCGATAACGCACCCGATATCTTCACGCAGCACTGTACACCATCCAAAATCTACCACTACCAAAATCCTAAAAGTTGTCTAGCCCGTTTTCTACTTCTATATGCAATTTTCACACTGCCGTACTCTTAACGGAACTATCAATTCTATACTTTCATCTCCTCATCTATCGTATAAAAATTACCACTTTAGTCTGTTATTTGAAATTAGCATCTTCAACTATGTAAATCGTTGACTTCACGCAGAAGTAATACTAAACATATATTCAAAGATTTTTAACTTTTTATTTTAAATTTAAACAAAAATAGTGAAACCAATTTAAGAGTGCATTTTTTTTCAAATAGTTCCTGATGCTCCCTTTAACATTGCCGAAGGCACCAAACCCATTGGACACACATTTTTCGAGTAACAGTTTTCTGAAGATAAGTTTAACATTTTTCTATAGGCCCTTTTCAAAATTAAGGCTCGATTTAAAATTGGTCATGAGAAACGTTTCTGAAAATGTTCATCCAAATACATATAAAAATACGAAAATTAATGGATTTGCGAATTCGTCTGGAATCGCTCAGAACTAACTTCAGTCAGCTTTGTAGAACTTCATCAAAGCCTGTTGAAAATTAGGGAGCTTTAGAGAAATTTAGTTATTTTTTTTATAAATCCGAGGAACTTCATTGAAATTCAGTGAATTTTTCTTTAACTTCATTAGAGTTTGTAAAACTTCGGGGACTTTGTAGCTATTCGGGGGACATCGTCGAAATTGAGAAAGTCCACTATAAATTTGGGGAACTTCGTAGAGGTTCAGAGAGTTTCGAAGAAATTCAGGGTGCTTTGTAAAAATCGGGAAAATTTCGAATAATTGAAACCTTCTACTTCGTTGAAGTTAAGGGAACTTTGTTTAATTTTAAGAAACTCCATAACAATTCTTTAATAAACTTGAAATAGATCAGGATTTTCCGTAGAACGTCAGGAAACTTCGTAGAAAATCAACGAAAATTAAAGAAGTTCAGGGCATTTTGTAGAAGTGCAGTGAACTCAATTGGGATTCAAGCGTCAAGCGAATTACGTAGCAATTCGAGGACCTTCGTAAAACTTCATAGAAGTGCTGGGATTTTATTTAAAAGGGAACTTGGTAGCAGTTCAGCCAAAACTGTAGATGGGCAGCGACCTTCGTTTAGGAAAATTCACAGAATCTCAGGGAGTATTTCACAAGTTCAGCATTTGATATGGGAACTTACTGGATGTTTTGGAAACTTTGTTTCGTTCAGATGATTAGGCAAAACTCGTAGGAATGGTTCAAAGCCTTTCCTGAAGTTAGGACATGGTCGTCGATGTTCTGAGATCTTGGTCGAGTTGAGAGAACTTCGGATACGTGTATGGATCTTCGTAGAAGTTAAGACAATTTTCAAGAAGTAGAGATAAGAGAACTTTGTAGATAATCAAGGAACAGTGCAGCAATTTTTTGGTGCTGTATATGACGCATGTGTCAAGATCAACGACTTTACCTTCCTTCAAATTTTCGGAAAACATGTATAATTTATTCACATGTATAATAATGTTTTAAAGCGAAACTATTTAACTACACTGCGTAAATTTAAATAACATGTTCAATAACTTCATATTACCGTGTGCTATGAGTAAAATTATAGCATGTCTCTCTCAGTCGCAGATTCGCAGCGTCAAGATATTTGCCAAACGTACTACGAAGAGTTTTCACGTATGTATTGTTTGCTGGTAGTTCGTCATTGCGTCCTAGTTATTTGTTGCTTCGTATTAATCGAATTGTGTAACGACTTTGTGTGTTCTTTATAAACTTAACTAACTTAAATTCCATACTAATTCAAGCAACCCAGAAGTGATAAGTTCTATTCTTCGAGATTCCATTTAGGCAAATAATCTCAATCATAGCCCAACACATTCTCTCTATCCAGTCTCGCCTATCCCTGAAGGTATTCACAACATTGAGCCCATACTTCACCACATCAATTTTATAGCACTGAAAAGTGCGTACAAAGAGCTGCCTGTGGTGAACAACGCTGAGCTGGCTATCTCGACGAAGGCACACAGAGAGATAGGGGACGACGGGAGTGTAGCAGTGTATGATATTTTCTTTCTCTAATTGTGTCAAATGGGCAACTTTTACCTATACATAATGTCGAAGTGAAAAAATTTCGTTCATGCCCTGTGTGCAGAGGAAAAACAGGTTCTACACAGTATCCCGTTCGTAATAGTTTCTAGCTAGTTTTTCGCGCTGCCTAGTCCGGACTTGGGTGGAGCAGTGAGATTCGACGGAAATTCTTCGTCTGCTCTAGGTTTCCCGAAGAGTGGCAGTAATCCCCAGCAGTGAAAAGCAAAAACAGTATGGGTGCACTAGCCAGCAGACAGAATGCAGCCGTGGAAGAGGCTGACGTGAGTGCTAACCACCAATATAAATATCCTCCTCGGTCAGGTATGTTGGAAAGGCCCCCTCTAAGCTGCCCTTGAAACACAGTCGTCACAGCAGTGGAAAGTTTATGCTCAATATGCTCATTTCTTCGCAGGTAATTATTTTGGTACACACTTTATTATGGGAGGTGAGCGATTCGATACTCCTCAGCCAGAAGCGTATCTTTTCGGGGAGAATGCTGATTTGAACTTCCTGGGATGCAAACCGACTCCTGTAAGTAGAATTGCATCGAGCATCGACGAAAGCTATCAACTTTATCTTTATCTTTCTGTTCCAGTTTCCTTATCCCCCACCGCAAGCAACTGAGCCAACAAAAACGCTGAAAAGTTTAGTCAATATACGCAAGGAATCCGTGCGCTTCGTGAAAGCATCTGATTGTAATGCGAAAATCCATGGCGATGGCACCAAAACCAATGCCTACAACATTGAGTTCGTCTTTGATGCGGATGCTCGTTGCGCTATTACGGTTTACTATTTTTGCATCGAAGACATCGGAAGCATTGGCGTTAGTTATATTCCTCGGGATTCGTCGCTATCATCCGAAACATTCCACTTCAAGCGGGGAGTCAATCAGGTATTCTCCGCTCCGTCGCATGTCTTCAACCCGGCACTGTTTTGCGAGGATGATATGTCATACAACTCCGAGAAGGACACATTCCCCGTTGTCATTCACTGCGTAGTAGAGGAAGGAACCGAGGACTGCCGTCAAAGTCACACCACAATCTGTGTGGTGGACCACCATTCAGATGGAACTTACGCTCTGCGGGCATTGAAGCAGAAGATCTTCGTCGACGGTCTATGTTACTTACTGCAGGAGATCTATGGCATAGAGAACAAGTTGGTCAACAAATCAATCGGAGATGAAGACACCGACGACAATGGGAGCGAATGTGTCATCTGTATGTGTGACACGCGAGACACACTGATCCTGCCGTGCCGGCATTTGTGCTTGTGCAATTCCTGTGCGGATTCGTTACGATATCAAGCTAACAACTGTCCTATTTGCCGAGCGCCGTTCCGGGCTTTGCTACAGATTCGAGCGGTACAGAAAACTACAGCAGGATCAAATGTCGTTCCGGTCCAAAGCCCACAGGATGTATGTTGTTTTTATTCGTCAGATGCGAATTTTGTTTTGATTACATATATTTTTTTAGGGTACGGATAACATTCCTTCGGGATACATCCCAATATCGCTTATTGAAGCCCTCAATGGTCCAATTAGTTCAGTAAAGCCTCAGAACACAACCGATAGCACTACTACGACAGATGGCAACAATGAGACTAACTTAACAAGTCAGGTACAGGAAACAATTTCTATTTATCGATCTGAATGCTCCATCACATTCTATTTCCAACAGAGCGCTGACAAACAGGATAGTGGCAAGAATACATCCAAGGAAATGGACACTAGTGGATCGCGTGAGAAACTGAACCAAAATGCCGTAGACTTTCGCATGTCGGTACTTCTATCCAAAGAGGACGGATCAGTAACTTGTGTCACGAAGGAGCTGCTTACTAAGCATTCGCCGTTGATGCAGCGGGCTCCTGTTAGCCGAGATAAAAATCCCCGCGAGAAGGGAACACTCCGGATCCAGGCTAACCAACCGATTGTCAAAGAACCACCGGCTGCTGCTCTCCTCGATCGGGAAACAGTACTGCTGGTGAACGAAAAAACTCAGCTGCCCAACGTGACCGAAATCGACGATGACAGTGAAGCGGAAAAACTGTCACCACTACTGCAGAAGGTGGACAACAACTCAACCCAGGATAACTGTGATAAATACGAGAAAATGCCCAGCATCTTGCGAATGACTCAAGACGAAACGGAAAATTTAGACTCGCGTAGTCAAAAGTCGGTTGCAGTGCTTGCTGCGGCTGAGGATTCCGACTACTATACTCCGGAAGATCCACATACCACAATTCTCAGCCCGCTGAAGGGCGACGAAAAGCTCGACGGGATGAAGAAGTTATCTACGCCATTGACCGTATTAAAGGAAGCCTCACAATGTTCCCTACCGGACAGCCCTATCAGTGGCAATTCACATACTTCCACACGCAGCTCCGGTGATAGCTACTCTTCCAGCTCTAGCACTCGGCAGTTGCTGTCGTCGGTAACGGCCAACGATACGCCTACCCACGTTACGGTCAATGTCGACGCTTCGGCGGAAGGACTCGTCAAGCACGAGATCAAAATTGGAAACAACATCAAGATGGATTGCATTGACAGCGACTGAGTTTGCTTTATCGTAGGAAAACTAAGCTGAAACAAGTGAAACAAAACGCATTTCTTCACCTCTTAAGGGAGTAAATTTAAACTAGAACAAATTGTGTGGTATCAAAGCTAAAAATAAAACGTTCGTAGGCCCTTTGTTGCTGCAGGAATAGCCGATTATTCGTAGAAACTGACGTGTACCGGAGTACTGATTCGAGGAGACCGGATCCATCCCGAAACGCATCAATTGGTATCACTGGGAAGTGAGTTTATCCAAGCAGGAAACAAGCAAAACAGCAATTTATGTTTGAATTTTAACATTAGGTTTTTATTATTGAAATATCACTGGAACATTTATCAAATAAATTCGTTTTAATCAAAACACTAAACTATAAGCAGTCCGAGTAAGACCCAGTTCAGCCTTTATCACCGCCCAAATAGTGTCTTCAGAGCCCGGTTCATCTGTCGACTGATGATCCGTCCAAATTTCTGAAATTCAAATCATATGATTCAATTCATAGATTATTTCAATGCAACTCTGTACGCACCACTGTTTGTCGAGTGAATTTGAAGCGCCGAGGAGATGCTGCTGCAACAGTCGTGTATGCTAGCAGTAGAAGCGCTAAAAACAAGACCAATTTTAAGATTTTCATCCTGCAAGTTTGGGTTGTTGCCGGAAAGAAGGTTATAGAGCTACTAAATTATGCTAGGTTATTGAATGGGCATTTGTATCATGGCTGCAAAGAGCTTCGTGCCTTTATCCAAAGGTGGAAGGGCCAATGGCTTTGCGATTAGGTTGCAAAGTGTGAGATATGGAGCAAAAAATAGAAGCGATTGTTTGCTCCCCACGTACGTTCATTTCTCCCACGCTGTTTTTTTATTTGCTGCGTAGAAACTTGATCAACAAAGGTGGTCTAAATTACCTTGTACAAAAACCAACTCCCCAAGGTCTATTTAAGCGTAGGAAACTAAATTTAGGATTGTTATTTTATTACTAACTTATTGACTTACGCCAACCATTTGGTTACACTTTTAATTTCCTTAAAAATCACAATGATCACAAGGCGTGATCAGAGCTGTTATGTCTCAGAACATCCCGGCGGCGCCAACTGGGATTGAACCAAGGCCTGCTGGGGTGAGAATCACGCTTACCACTACACCACCGGCGCCACTGTTTCAAAAATTGATTTTAAAAAAGAAGCCTTCATTGCAAACAAAGGTTTGGGCCCCGAGAAGTAAAATGGTAACTAGTCAACTTACTGACTTACTTAGTGGATTCCGTTGAGAGGTTTTCAGAATTTTGTTTTGTTTTGTACTATACCCCAGAATTTAGATGTTGAGCAGTAGGGTGTCCCAAAATTGCACTATGTCTGGAAATCTGGGGGCTCACCCTCCAAATGATAGCTAAGGGTGTTACCAACAAACTATTGTCAGCTTTGAAGATGTGTAGGATGCGGTTGAGTTACTTCTTCAACATAAGCGTGAACCACATCGATGAAGAGCAACGAAACGATACTGTCCGTGCAGAATTCTGGAGCCAGCAAGTGACAAACAAAGTTCCGGTTGAGTTTCCGAAAAGCTTCTCAAGCAGTGTACCATTGATATGCAAGCAGCTTCGGTAGCCACAACTTGAATGCTTTTTTGTCAGTCAAAATTGGATTCCTTAGCAACAAAATTAAGGTATGACACCGATAATGACCATGCATCAGAACCCTAGTCTTAACCACTTCAAACCAGGGAACAACGAATAGAAGATTAGGAATCACATAGATGAAGACAACTAACTCATTTTTTCCTTGTTTCAAGATCATCCTCGGTAGACAAAGCCGAGTCTTGTCACTATCAGCAAGGCATAAAAAGTAACAAGGACTAAGATGTGTTCCTTAGATTACTGAAAAATCCTGTTCCCCTATTGTGAAGTAGTCAGGACTAGGAATCGGTGGTAGATCTTACACCCCGTAGCGTACCACGAAAAGGTGATCTACCCACGTTACGGGGCTATATATACCTTATTACGATGTTTAATTCTACTACTATTGTATCACTTTCACTTTATCTAATTTACTTCCACTATTTATTTTCACTATCACTTAACAAAAAGCTATAACAAATACGTATTTCGTTTACAACTTACTTGCAAACTTCTCCAGTGTCCAGTGGTCGGCTGCTCACTTTTGCTTTAATCTCTGTCCACCGGTCGACCCACCTTCATATCAGGTTCTGCGACATTTACGATGAAGCTCAGCTTTCGAGATCAAGTTGTGAGGCCACCAGACACGAATTAAGCCTGCGGAGAAAGTTCGCAATATCTTGGAAGTCAGATAGCGTCAGCGAGAGCAAGAGCCTCAGAATTGATGCCGAGCTGAGCTAAAAGTACAAAGGATTTATTGTAGATGCACCAGTCATGGCCATACACACTTACATTTTTTCGCCGAGATTCCAACACCCGAGTAGTTCTGCAATTTATTTTGCTGATATTCAGTCAAACAATTTCCGAGACTCAGCGATTTTGCTGAGATATCAGCTAAAAAATAGATATTTTGCAGATATATCAGCAAAAGTAAATGCCGAGGTAATCGGCTGTTGGAGATTTTACCGAGCTAGATTAAGTGTTTACGTTCCTATTATGGTGTGTTCCAATTATGAGAATCCCACCAAAACGTATGTGGTATGCGCAAGCCCACACAGCTAAAAAAAAGTAGTGTAAATTTCCGTTACTATGATGCACATAAATGGAGCGTCATAAATCATACAAATTTACATTATAAATCGTGTAAATTTATGAGACATGTCATGCAATATTCCATATATTGTATGCAACTTTCCACCTTTGTTTGCAACATTTCTTGAGAGAGATGAACTAGCCTAAGGCTAAAAATCTCTTTAATAAAGCTTTAAAAAAAAAACCTGCCTAGAAAATAATAGTCATAAAAGAACAATCCGGCGATACGGGCCGCATTCCTGAATTCCGTGTAATAAATTCTTCTAATTTATTTTATCCCAAAACGGACGCAGCTGCATATGCATCTGCGTCATCTTTATCTATTTTACTTTCCAAGCGCATTTATTGTCCATCCTTTTTATTAACGAGCGCTGTTCCATGAAATGCGGGGATATAAAAACGGATCGCCCAAACTAATAAAAGCAGGAAATATGATGATGGATGATATGGAACTACCACTCATTGTAGCAAGACGTCTGTCAGTAGCTGTGGGTTGTCCTCGTTGTTCAACTCGCCATCCAACACGAGGATACCCCAATGAGTGGGGAGAAGAGCCCGCCCTTTATTCACGAAATGTTAACGACAGGGAGTTGGCATTCCCACTCTCCCCATCCATTTCGTTACAATTGGGTGCCCTGGTGGTCCCTTCCCTTCCCAGCATTTATTGATTCATTTATGCAAATGTTATAATTTTGGAAAAGTATATAAGGAGACTTACCCTTGATCATGAAGTAACTTACCTGTCTGATAACCATGTTTAATTTATTTTATTTTATTTATTTTTTTTCTTGTATATTTGTTACATATATGGAATCATTTTTGAAATGCCCTCTCAGACAAACTTTTTGATAAATACTGCAACGCAGATTTAAAACAAAAAATGTAGAAAAATCTGCATTACTATCCCTTGCGACAGTTCCTCAAGTTTTTATTACCTTCTTTTTTTAATTTTTGAAGATGAAGCTTATTGCACAATGTATTGAAAACCGATAAGTGATCCCCACTGCATCCTTGAGTAATTACTTTTTTTTCTTTTCCAGTGTCTATATTTTCATCTGAAATTTCACTATTCTCTTCTTTATAAATCGCTTCAGCTTGAACTTTTATTTTTTCCCTGTCTTGCGCCAATAGTACCCATTCATTAAGATTTAAACATGAATATCTACTAAAGTCCTGATCTAGAGAATTTTTCCAAGTTAAGCTAGGACGTCCTTTCTTTTTCCTTTTGAAATTCATATTGAATGCTAGTCTGATGGGATGCTTATGTTCTCTCCTCAAAATGTGACCGTAATAACTGATCCTACCTACTCTAACTCTTCTGTTGATTGTTTTACCGTCGACCAATTTCTTAGCGTTAAATTTCGATTTTCCATTTCGCTTACATTGACTGTATATATTACGTAAAATTAGCTTTTCATAATTAGCTATAGAAATCCTGCTCTTTTTCGTAAGAACGGCTACTTTAGTGCCATAGATAAGTGATGGAGCTAATACTGTTTTATATATAGCTATAAAGTCTTACCTAATTCCCAACTTGGATGAAACTGTTTACAAAAATCTACTATCATTCTGCTAGTTTTCAAAGAATTCCTACACCTTTCTCTGTTGGTTAATTTTCTATTCAGTGCTGCTGTTAGTAGTATCCCAAGTATTTAATGCGATCACTAACCTTAAATATTTTTCCATTTAAATTAATCTCTTCTGGTTGTTTTGCTTTATTGTTGGGATATCTAAACATAATCTGGCTTTTATCATAATTTATACTTAAGCCTACTTTCTCCAACTCATGTGTGAGGATTTTCACTACTTTCTCCATCTCTCTCATGCTCCTAGCAATGATCAATAAGTCATCAGCAAACGCCAGAATTAGAGGAAGTACTGAACAGTCAAAGTCTAAAAGTTTTAATTCTGGAATTTATTTCGAGACATTGGTCAAAACTAGCAGGAAATATTATAGATATATGCCTATTCCTAGAAGGAAAAGGATGATTATCACGTTCCCACGAAAAGACGGGAACGTAAGAAAGGAATAGGTTCATTAGAATGTGAGAATGTTACGGTTTCGTAAGGACAGAAGTAAGAATAAAGTTTAGTTCGACTTCCATCTCCACTTGAGTACGTTCACTTATATATCACACTTCCACACGTATAGCCATGACGGGTACACCTGCTCTAATATTATTTACGTTGAATTTTTCACTCGGCGCGGCGTTCAGCGTTTAGCGCCCTAGGACCATAGAGGTAACTCTAAGACAAGTAGGTCCCGAAGAAACGTGCTCAACTTTTTGGCTCACCTCTGGTACTATCTTCGGTCCCAAGCTTGTCGAATCACCCCTCGAAACATAAGAAAAACCAATAACCCCTCATTTTATCTGTCAAACTTTCATAGCGAATCAAAACAAACATTGCGTAGTACTAGAATTTCGACTAGAATAGGGTACGTTAATCGTTTGCTTGGGACCAATAGGCTACTAAAGTGGTGAGCCAATTTAAAATCGTTAGTTTCGTATTGATTGTTGCTAGGACTGCCTTTGCGAATTTACGAAAGGGAAAATCCAAAATTTCCTGAAAACTATCCCGAGAAAAATCGGATATCAAAATGATATCAGATTATGTTTGTGAATTATATTGATAACATATTTTGATATTTTGTTTTTCATAGAGGTT